TCAGAAGAAATATGTGAATGATATAATAGAGAAGTTTAAGCTGGCAGAGTGCAATTCTGTTCACAATCCCATGACTGTTGGAACAAAATTCACCAAGGCTGGAGATGGTTTTCTTGTGAATCCAACAGAATATAAGCAATCGATAGGATGCTTGCTTTATGTTACTGCAACTAGACCAGACATTATGTACTCAGTCTGTCTTTTGAGTAGATTCATGAAGTCTCCCACAAGAAAGCACCTGCTTGCAGTCAAGAGAATTCTGAGGTACTTAAAAGGGACAACAAGGCATGGAATCTGGTACAAGAGACTTGATGAACAAGATCATTTGTTAGGATACACAGACAGTGACTATGCAGGAGATCTTGATGATAGCAGAAGTACTAGTGGTTATGTATTTTTTCTTGCAGGGGAGCCATCTCATGGTCTTCAAAGAAGCATCCAGTGGTGACCTTATCAACCACAGAAGCTGAGTTTGTGGCTGCCTCATATTGTGCTTCCCAGTGTGTGTGGCTTCGAAGGGTTCTTGAGCAGATGAATTGGAGGGAATGTGTAAAGGGGGCAAAAAGAATTATGTGTGATAACAGATCAACCATTAAACTTTCGAAGAATCCAGTGCTGCATGGTAGGAGAAAGCACATAGATGTTAGATTTCATTTTCTAAGAGAGCTTGCAAGGGAAGGAGTGGTTGAGCTGCATCACTTAAGTTGGATTCTTTTCTGCTTCTGCGAAGTCACCTTGGAGTTCATGATGGTGCTGAATTGGAATTGAACTGAAACTTCTGAGATGCTTCAGTTAAGGGGAGGATGTTGAAGATGCTGAAGACAGAAGTTGAATTTGGGTTGGTGCTGGAAGTCCTCAGTGCAGCAGAAGTTCTTGGACCGAAGACTGTTTGATTTAAAGTTTAAGTTTGAAGTAATGCCGTGTCGTATTGGCAAGACTGTGTCATGTTGTCAATACTGTGTCGTGTTGGTCAATTTGTGTGTTGGTCCTTTTGTTTAGTTTGCAGACAGTCTGGTCCTGTTCGTAGTTTGAGTGTGCTATAAGTAGTGGTAGCTGTGAGATCATGGCAAATAGGGTTGATGCCAAACTGTCAAGGCACAACTGTCATGTGTATATATTTTCGTTTGATCAATGAAATAAACTGTCAGATTGCATTCCATTGGATTCAACAAAAAATGGATTTTTTGACAGCACAAAGTGTGATTCTCATTCCTCAAAAGATAGATTACTACGTGTCAAGAAATGAACATAACTAACAAATCGAGCATAATAATCCAGTCACTAGAAGAGAGTTGTGTAGGAAAGATCTAGCCACCCAATTCACCATAACATTGTGTTTTCTAGGGAATAACTCCACCCTAATACTCGGGAATGATCCAAGGATTATAGAGATAATCCCTAATCTTGCAGAATCTGTCCATGGCCAAGTGTTGGGCTGATTAGAGATGGCGGCAACCAAGGCATGACAGTCTGACTTTACACAGCACAAGACATTCAATCTTGTAGATTCTTTTAGAGATTCTTGAAGGTTCATTGCTTCTGCTTAATAGGGAAGGATCAAGTCACATTCTCAGCTTCCCATCACAAAATTTTCATGACTATTGATAGCCACATAGCCGTATGCTTCCTCCTGGAATCATTTATATACGATCCATCATAGTGAATCTCCATATTGGGATTACTTGGAGGTGGACTATTCGTGTTCTAGGATGCCACAAGCTGGTTGCGTAGGATACGAGTATGGGGAGTGGAAATGGTATAGCGAGTCCAAAGATTAAGGTTACTAGATTCATTAGTGAATGTTGGTGTTGGACACGACGATACGTTTAAGAAAACTTTCTAATTCCTACAAATCAATATCACCAAAAGGAGGGAGATAATGAAGAGGATGGAGTGCCCTGACAATAGAGGTTCCCTCTCAATCCTCTATATCACCTCCATCATTGTGGCACGAAATGCTCGATCTTATCTCTGTGTCGGTTCATTGAGTTGATTCCTTCAACTGGACGTTCACCTTCGTATGCTACTTTATCACCTTGTTCAGGATATTGAGCATCGTCTCGTGCTTGGTAACATCTTTGACAATCATTGTATCCTTTAGTGGTTTTTGCGGGTTATTAGTTGAAGACATCATCTTCTCATAATCTCAAGCCAACCAAGCTCTGATACCACTGTAAGAAGTAAGGACCTAGGCGTGTCTATCTAGGGTTCAAAGTTTGGGCATTTGTATTAAATTGGGAATAAATGGTAAAATTAGTGATTTGGGTAGGGAAAGAGGAAGATGATAGAGAAAAGAAGAAGGAAGAAATCGGCTCCCAAAGAGTGGGAGGGGCCGACGACACCGAGAGAGAGATGTAAAGAGATAAGTTAAGAGAAGGAGAGAATTAGGTATAGGGAATAATTGATATGTAATTGGTTGCCTTGAAAATTCCACTAATTACACATTATATAGTCCAATAAATTTCCTATATCTAAAAAATCCCAAATAACGTAAGAAAATATTCAAATCTAAATAAAATAAAAAATAAATTCAAATGAGAAAATAGGTCTAACACTTCCACTCTGCGATTCCTCCCTACAACGACCATCGCCTCATAGTTCTTCTCTCCTATTCTCCTTCATCAGCGGCTAAATCTTAGCAGCTTCTTTCTTATTAACACCACTTAAGATTAAAAGTACGACAAAGCGCGCAGGATATGATATTGAGCTCTCTAAACTTCGAATGACTACTAATATGAGTTGGTGCGCCCTTCTCGTACGGTATCCTAGAAAACAAAATAATAATATGCATGTCACATAAGTGCGTAGTGGAAGTTGAAGTAGTCTAAATGGTGAATTAAGCGTTGAGCTGGCAAATCCCTATATGTTACGGTTATCGGGTATACTGTATAGGTAGAGCTGGCAAATCCTTAGGAAAAAACAAAGCACTGTTGTCAAATCCTATTGTTATTAGTATCTTTTTCAATTAATTATTGCATTGGTTAGCAGGGAATTTGTGCTGTAATTGTGTACCACTAATTAGAATTATCTACTATCAATAGAACAAAATCGCCATTATGTACTATAAATCGTTGATTAGTGAATTCCCATTATGGTTCGCAAGTCAAACTATTCCCAATTATATAGAGGGGAAATCCCCGTTGGCCGGTGTGACATGCATCTTGATAACATATAGGATTGATTGTGTTACTTTTATTATATGTTTTCAAAAAATTTGAGCAGTAAATTGTTTCCTTTGTTTGATTTTAGTTTCAAAGGGTTGGCAGGTCATGTATTTCTGAGTTTATGAACAAGAGTAAAGTAAAATATGAAATGTTCTATTTACATCAAGGGTTATAGGTATAATATGCCCCTCTACTATGACATTTTATCAAACATGCCCTTATACTATTTTTTACATCAAACATGCCCCTGTACTATGTAAAAATGATCAAACATGCCCTTTTGTTTAAATTTCATCCAAAAATCATTAACCAAGGTCGAACTTTGGTTTGGGCGGCACAAATGTCTAAAATATTCCTAGTAATTTCACTTTAGAATATTTTTTGTTCTTTTTTATAGCCAAATCATTCAAATGATTTCACTTTGAAGAGACCCAGAGAAATAAAACGGGAGAAAAAACTGACATTTTCGCTCCTATTTGCCGATGTCAGGTCGTCTAAAATCTCGGTTCAACCATGATTGACAATTTTATCAATGGAAATCTTAACAGAAGGGCATGTTTGATAATCTTTTCAAAGTACAGGGGCATGTTTGAAGTAAAAAATAGTAGAGGGGCATGTTTGATAAAACATCATAGTAAAGGGGGCATATTATACCTATAACCCTTACATCAAAGATAAACAAAAAAAAGTAATGAATTAAGTGAGAAAAAATTTCTTCTGAGCTTCATTCCTTTATTCACAAAGGTTTAATTGTGAAATTGTAGTCGTATCATCATTCATTGGAATGAAATTCTTGATTGCGTTCACCAAAAAAAGAACTCGATATTTGGTTTTGAAGTTTTAGTTTTCAATCTAGATGTTCATGATTCAAATATGAGGGTGGTTGTGAGCTATTAGGGCTAAGTAAGGAGAGAAGACTTTAAAAATTGAAAACTGGAAATTACAATTAGGGATAAACACACAAAATTGTACTCAGGCTGCCAAATCACAAACTTCATCATCATATAAGCATCTTCCACTTCCAGTGATAAAGCACCAGGGGGTGCTTTTGATTAGAATACGCAGGTCCACACACACAATCGAACGATAGATGATGGATAGGTAGAATTCTCGCCACAATCGAGGTGATTAATCGATTGATAAGAGAACTTGCTAAACGATTCTGGAATCCACTCAGAATAGCTTCACAAGGGTCTTGTAATTAGCTAAGGAATCCACTCGTAGCTAATGACAATGGGTAAACTCTCGAGACGCAACTCAAGAACTCAAACACTTGGTTTGTATTAATTCAATCAACTCTACTTTACAACGTGAATTGGAAAGGTATTTAAAGACAATAAACCCTAATACAACCCTACATGAACAAGGAAACTAATTAGAACAGGAATAGGCTAAAGAATTCGAGTAAAACAAGGTAACTTGCTGGCCAAGAAACTGACTTAAAACGCAAGCAAGTCTGCCTAGAAAAACAGGCTTCATAGCATCTTTGAGCCCTTCGAAAATGGTCTTCTAGGTTGATTCGAACTCAAAAAATTCCTTGCCTTTGTAGAAGAAAACTTCCTATTTCATCTCCAACTTGAGTCAGCCTGAGATCATGCTCCAAACTCCAGATATAGTCCTTCAAAGTTGGTATCTCAACACAGTTTTCTGCCTTAGCCATTTTCTGGCAGTTTTCCAGTTTTGAGGTAGCAACTTTGAGGCCTTGGAAAACAATCTTAATGACATCTTCTGGACAAAAAATGTATACCATTGGAAACATGGAAACTTTATCTGTAAAACAAGCTCTTGATCTCCAATTTCCATTGAGCCATTTGTGAGATACAAGCTTCCAAAGTAGGCATCTCGAAACTGTCCCAACACTTAACCAAATTCTGCCTTTCTTCTTCCCAACTTCGATTGCTTCTTTGTCAAGTAATTGTGACATGAATGGTTGACAATTTGAGATCATATCATCCAGGGCAAATAATAGCAATTTTGGAAATGGGTTGGTACCTATTCATCTGAAACGTCAATTCAAGGGGAAAAAAAAACTACAAGGAAAAAAAACTATTAATCACTCTGCTTTTGAGTTGCTTCCTAATAACCTCTGCTTTTCCCTTATTCAAACAGAACCAAAAAAGTCACAATTACAAAAACAAAAAATAAAATACAAAGACCCGATAATTATATAGAGCACAGAGGGTAGGAATTCAATAAAAACTAACAGCACAGATCAGCTCCCCAATTATTTCCGCAGCCGTCGGCGTAGCAAGCTATAGAATAATCGAACACCATAGCAACGAATGCTGAATTTGAATTAATCGACTGCTCAAATGGACGGCAGAAGCGACGCTATCCTGTAAAGCAGCTGACCGTCAGGAAGGAAAATGTCGCCGGAGCCGTCTTCAATGAAATTCGACTGAGAAATTAGCTGGCGTTAGGGATTTGGGAGTGCAAGAATTGCTGCGGTGCTACAAATACTGCTGTAAAGTGTAAACGGGGGATTGGAAAAGAAGAGGCCAGAATTCTGTCCAAAGGAAAAATGGACAGACGGCTAAAAAAATAAAAAAAAAATGGACAAACGCATGCGTTTGGAAGGTAGACGAAATTATCCTTTGGTGAATTAGGGAGAACCAATGAAAGTGGCATGTGGCAAGAATGATATAAAGTAAAGCTTATAATATGATTTGTTGATGACCAGGTCCAATTATTCCTCTTCTTCTCCTCATCAGTTTTACCGATCTAAAGCTGTCAACACCCCCACGTAATTAAACAAATGGGAAATCTCTTCTCTTCTCTTCTCATGTACCAACAAAACACAACGTTTCTTAAACTACAACTACTCCTCCCCTTTTTCATTCTATGCCAACAAATTAAAGCTGCTCGTGTTCGATCACATTCCCCCACCCAAAAAAAAAAAAACACCCCCCCACTAACCATGGAGCTTTCGCCACCGAGCAACAGCCTCTTCTTTCTCCACGCTCTCACACTCACAACTCTTCTTCTCACAATCCTCCTACCTCCCGCCGCCGCCGTCGAACCCACCACGACGGATGATTTCGTCGAGAAATCGTGCGCCTCCGCCACCCGCTACCCCGACCTCTGCGTCGCCACGCTGTCCCCTCACGCCTCCGCCATCCAAACCAGCCCCAAGCTGCTGGCCACCGCCGCTCTCTCCGTCGCGCTGGCCGCCGCCCGGTCCGCATCCAAGTCCCTGCAGTCCGAAACGGCGGCGTACAGGAGGATGGTGGGGTCGACCGTGACGATGAGTCCAGGAGAGGCTGCCGCGTGGCGGGACTGCAGGAGCCTGGTGAGGGACTCGGTTGACCAGCTCCGGAGATCGGTCAAGGAGATGGGTGGCGACGAAAAGACGGCGATGATGACTAGGTTCCAGCTCAGCAACGTGCAGACGTGGGCCAGCGCGGCCATGACGGATTTGGACACGTGTACGGATGGATTGTCCGGTGAGGGCGTGGATGGGGAGGTGAAGAGGAGGCTGATGGAGAGCGGGGTTGTGGATGTTGGCCACATGATTAGTAACGCTTTGGCTTTCGTTAATCAGTATGGTGATGGGATTAATTAAGGTTAAATAAGGTGAATTTTTGTTCAGGATCAGAGCTCTATATCTAAATAGCTTATTTTGATTTCTAAATTTGTCAGATATCATAAAATTCTGTTGTAAGTCTCTCAAGATAACCAAAAAAAAAAAAAAAAAAATAATTCCTGTTGCATTTCTTGTATTGTGTTGTTCATCAACTTGGGTGGTTATCATCGAGGATTAAATTAATTGCTGGTTTGATTTGGGATTGGTTTTCTTGTTGTTGTTGAATTGTTTTCCTATTGATGATGAATTATGTTCTTGTGTTTTGGATGAATGGGTCCTTCTCCTCATATGGGTACGGATGGAAAAATAAGACGTTTGTTTAATTGTTTGTTGTATAATGAATTATTATTTTTATTACATTAAATTATATATATACACATGTGCATAATTGTGTATGAATTTCTTCATTTCTTGATTATAAGATTGTGTATGATTGGCTTCTTTTTATTGGACAATGACTGATTGGTTTCCATAAAAAAAGCAATGTATGATTGGCGGCTGAAGAAGCTATATATGTGATGTCCAAGTAAAAGTGAGTTTATTGTTTCTTTTAGATGTTGGCCTTCAAGGACAAAATCTAGTGGAGAACCACCAAGGGTGGTGGAGGTGGTAAAGACACATATTTATGTTTAGGAGGAGTGAGTTCGATTTTTAGTAGTCGACACTTCTGCGTTACCCTCTTGGTGGTCACCGGTAGGGCTGTAAGCTCTTATTAAATACTCGGGTATCTATGGGGTCGGGGTTTTCCGTCGCAAGACGGATTTCTCCCCATAAAAAAATCTAGTGGAGAAAGGATTGCCAGAGACATTACTCGTTAATCAGTCGTTAGTATTTATTTTGCCAGCTACGAAGATATTAGAGATTAATTAAAGAGAACACATGTCCCCCCCGCACTGTCTGCCTCATCCTCGGGTGCGGGAGATGCGCCTGTTGCCGGAGGCGCATCAGCCGCTGGTGGATCAGGCGCCTGCTCCCCCTCGCGCATGCCGAGCGTGTCCGCAATCACGAAGTTGGCCATGTCTCCCAAATCCCAAGCCTGGTCCGAGTGATCGCGGTCGAGCTTCTTCTTCAGGATGCCTATTCTCGTCAGGCAGACTTTTGCAAGGAGTCTTCGTAATGCTCCAAGGACGCCTTCAGGGCGACAATCTCCTTCCGAGCCGCCTTCATGGCCTTCTTATAATCTTTGTGACCATGGGACATGGTCTTCAGATCATCTTGGAGCCTCCCCTTCTCTTCCTTGAGACGATCGATCTCGCTAGCTTGGGCTCCCACCTCTTTTGACAGCGCCTCCTTCTCGGACTCCAAGGCTTCGCATCGATGCCTCTCGTCGTCGAGGACGGTCTACAGACAGGAAACCTCCTTGGCCGCCACCAACTGGGAGTCTTCACACTCCTTCACTAGCTGCTCGCGCCGCATGTTGGTCGTGGCAAGATCGTCCTTCACCACAGACAGGGAATTCGAAGCAGCCAGACTCTATGCTTCGGCTGCCTCCAGGCATCGGGCGCCTCTCTTCGCAAAAAGGAGCACCTACATTGGAAAATTTAAGTTAGAACCTCCCATGAAAAACTTGGGAAACACATGAAAAGATAATCAATTACCTTGGCGCCCACTTGGGCGAGCTCTGCAAAGAGTTGCTCTTCATCGATCTCCGAGGGCACCTACAACATCTTTGCCGCAGAAATTGCCAAGGCCATCGCACAAACTCGATTAACGGTGGCGCGAGGAGAGCAAGGCAGGGCGATGCGCCCAAGCTCGGTCCGAAGGGGCTGAAGAAGTGGAGGGCGCCCTTCCGGCCCAACGTAGTGACTTTGTACGAACCATCCCCTGGCATGAAACCCGGAGCGGACGCAGTCGATGTCCCAGCAGACGGAGGCACCCTCTATAAAAGCAAAAAGCGAAGCACCCGCACAACCGCAACGCGAAGTAAGTGGCGCCCATGCCTCAAAAGAAACAATCGAGGATGCAAAATAAAATGTTAAATTGAAATAAAACTGGGCGCTTACCAGGGTTCGATGGGGCGCCTTGCTCAGGAGCAGCGCCCGCGCCAGCAGATTGGTTCGGTGAGGCAGACATGTTGAGGAAGATTCAAGCGGGGAAGGATATGCGAGCGGCAGGCAAGGCGAAGGCCAGAGAGAAGTTAGAGAGAGGGCGTGCTTTGAAGAGGTAGGAGACAAAATGAGGGCAATGAGAAGTATTTATAGGAAAGGAGGGGGGCACGCCTTGGGATCCGCGCTTGTTCGCCACATGTCACGATCTCGGATGGGTATTCGAATTTCAAATTTTGAAATTTGAAATTCAAATACACGTCCGAGAGGGAGCAAGGGGCCCACGCTAACTAGGCACCTGTGTCAAGAAAGAATAAAATCAGCTGTCGACAAATTTAGCACGCTATCCAGGCGCCCTAGTCTGAAAAAATCATTAGTGGATGGATGCCCCGTCCCGTGAGACTGAGGCGCTTGCAACGAGGAAAGGGTGGCATTTCCCACGCAAGGGTTGACAGGGGGGAGCACGCAAGGTAGGCGCCTAAATGAACAAATAGGAAAAGCAGTAGTTGACAGATGGAGTGCGCTAACCAGACGCCTGTGTCAAGAAAGAATAAAATAAGTAGTAGACAAATTGAGCACGCTATTCAGGCGCCCGAGTCTGAAAAATCATTTGTTGACAGGCGCCCGGTCTCGAAAGAACGAGGCGCCTGTAGCGAAGTAAGGGGGCATTTCCCACGCGACGATAGGGCGTCCCACTAGGCAAAGATACGAAAACCAAGATAACGGAAAGGAAAAACTTAGGAGAAGACTAAAGATCAGCAGGCGCGCAACTCAGCAACGAGGCGAGGCGGTATGCGATAGGCGAAATAGCACAAGATAACAGGCGCCCAACGCAACAAAGAAGATGAGCGAGAGTCGTGGGGCGCCTAGTTCAGCAATGCCAAGGTGCCGATTAAAGTGGCATGTATGGGCGGGCCGCCTATCGGATGACGACGGGTGGACCCGCTAGTAGTTCATCGAAGCCGAGGCCCCTATGAAGGGAAGATCGTGGGATAAAGGGGAGACTCGCGTAATCAGGCCCTTGAACATATTCAGGCCCTCAAGTTTCAGAAACTTGAGAGCCTAACTGGGGGCAATTGTTGGGGGAATTACAAAGATAGACCCAAGACGGCCCAATAAGGAGGAAGAGGGTTGCTCCATGGGCCCAACCCACAGGTTGTCCCGCGGGGCCAAGCCAAGGTGTGATGAAAGAAGTTAGGAGGCAAGGTGCGGAAGTCTCCAAGAGAGTACGGTCTGGGCTTCCAGCATTTGTCAGAAGCCTGACAAGTTGGTCGGGGCGCCCAGCTTGACAGAAGTACGGAGCATTAAATGCGATGCTGACGTGGATCTAGGTGCAAGAAGCTCGGTTCAGGGTTGGGTGAGTATAAATAGTGCCGGTATGTAGCATTTATGCAAGTTGGATACTCTCACTAAACACTAGAGCTTGGTACTTCTCTCTCTAAGGTTCAAACTGACTTGATCGTCGGAGGACTAACAGGCCCAGGCGCCCTCCTTCGTGTGCGTGTGTGCAGGTCAGGTGCTTAGAACTCGTTGCGCAAGGTTTGAGCTGGTGGGGAATTGGGCTCCAAAGTATATGGGCTCAAACAGATACTATTATACCTTTTATAGTTAATGTTGGCAGGATACTAACAGATAGGAAAGTGACACTATGTGGTCTCAAAATTTTTGGAACTTGGATACTGAATTTATTTTGGAGTTCATATTGATTTTAACGTTATCCAGTATTATTTATTATCGAGATATCATTACCTTATGAATCCACCCCTAACTTACGTGACAGTGAAGTTTTTACCAACTTTTGCTACTACCTCTTCCATGGACGGGCTAAGATCAGGTGACCTTAGTCACATGACTAAGTGAATCTCAGCCATTGAACCTCATTTAAATTTGATGGTTCTAATTAATCTACTTTAATAAAGTGTAATGTAGTAATTACACAGTTTATTTATTTGAAAAATAAAGTATAAAAAATAGTTGTCGACGATCCTTGTCATTCCCTCCGCCCACCGGTTGTCCGAGGAATTTATCGGCAGCGGTGTAGTTTTTTTTTTTTTGCCCATGGCTCAAATATATATATATATATAGAGAGAGAGAGAGAGAGAGAGAGAGAGAGATTCTGCTTACCAGATAATGTTTGTAAGTCTGGTTTGTAATGTTTGTATCAATTCGTTTTGTATTGTTTATCATTCTTGTTTGTCATTTTTAGTGACATTTTGTACGGTTAGTATGTTTTGTACTGTTTGTCGATTTATTTTGTAATGTTTGTATGCTTTGTTATTTTGTAATGTTTGTAGATTTATTTTGCAATGTTTGTAAGCTTTGTTATTTTTTTGACCATGTTTATCATTTTTGTCAACCATGTTTGTAATATTTTTTTATGTCTAAAAATCAACCTGGTTGACTTTTGGATGGAACTCTTCTATATAGGGATGAAGCCTCCAAAGTCAACCCGGGTGTTTTTCCAGTTTGTATGATTTGTCGGTCTAGTTTGTCATTTTTGTGCACCATGTTTGTAATGTTTGTATGTCTAAAAAACAACTGGGTTGACTTTGGGACAAAGCCCCTCTATATAGGGACGAAGCCTCCAAAGTCAACCCGGTTGTTTTTCTTTTTGTGTGGTTTGTATTGTTTGTCGGTCTCGTTTGTATTATTTGTACAGTTCATACGTTTGTAATGTTTGTAAATCTGTTTGCATGTTTTGTCTTTGTAATTTGTATTGTTTGTATGGTTTGTATTGAGTGTAAGTCTGGTTTGTATACTTCGTAATTTTCCATAATACCCAAACTACCTCTGTCATTAATTAAATATCCCTTCCCATTTTTTAACCGTCAGATTGTTGTGTCCAGATCTAAGAGTTGGAAGGGGTTTAGTCACATGATTCGGACCCTCCATGGACTATTAATATTGGTGATTACTACCGAAAAAATATATATATTAGTGAGTACTATCGGCTTTTTGATCCATCTAACGTCATAGGTGGTATGAAATCCATAACAACCCTAACAGTTTTCAAACTTATTGTTTATTCGGACTTCCCTTTCCTCTATAACATGCGTTGGTTACATTTTGTATTTTCTACCATAATTAACAAACACCCCCGCAAACTGTAGCCACCACAACTATTCAACATATATGAATGGAAAAAAGAAAGAACAGAAACCAGTAGTCCTTTTCTTCAACCCTCTTGCTCCTGCTAATCATCGATCCTTTGTTTCAGCAGTCATCTCAATGAAGCAACAAAATGAGTTCATAAATACATTTCCTAGCTTTCAGCATTTTATATGAGGGGATGGTAAAGCTACAATGAACTTTTCATTCTTTCCAATGCTACGAGTTCTGATAACTGTTTGAGTCGAGAGACTTGGAGATATACCCTCCAAGTCCCAATAAGAAAAGAAAAACTGGAAGCTTACAGGAACAGGCTTGCTTTGCCTTATGGTTGGTTACCAAGAATGAGGCATATTCTGTCTCCCATAAAGAGCATAAATAAATGATCGACTGCCACAACAATGATCACTGCTAGTTTTTTTTTCTTTTCTTAAATGTGGTCCTTCAATAACCCTATATACACAACGTGAATGAACAAATCTTGTAAAGAAACCGATTGGAAACAAACAGTTTCCTACTTTTCGAGCTTCTTTGGACCTTCATTCTCATCCATTTTTGTAGGAAGAGACCAAAGCAGCTATCTTGTGCAGCACTGAAGATGCCTTGGCATTAGGAAGAGGTGATGAAGCTTCCTGATACCTGTGAAGGCTTCCTGTGAAATCCGTGAACAGTCCATCGACTCCTATTTTGTTGATCCAGTAATCATATTCTTGGTAAGGGTCTTGATGAAAGTCGAAGTGCAAGTACTTGTTTTCATTTCTGTAAGTGTAGGGATGCACCTGAGGAACATTCAGGTAACAAACAAACTCAAACTTCCATGTTTTACAAGGATCAAGCTGAAACTGAAAGTCTGAAGCAGATAACTCTCAGAAGGAAGGATTTCAGAGAACATAATCTAAGTTAATTTCTGCCAACGTGTAAAAAATGGCGATGTTTATGGGATAAAAGAATAGGCAGCAATCATTCCAACTGATACCTGCAGGTTACGGGCATGTGCTCTTGCGACTAGATCAGTAGGTGCTTGCAGATATTCATTCGCAACAGGGACTACAGTATCTTTCCAAGGTCCAATCCCCACCACATAATTCTTAATATAGTTCAGATAGGCATCAGAGGTGATTTCGGAGTAAGTCTGCAGATTGTTACTAAAATAGTCATGCTGCTACTCAGAAGAACATGAAAGATACTAGCACAACAGTCAACCACAATAAAGCTGTTCTAATGCGTTCCACAATCGGTTAAGAAACACAAACCTGATTGGTATCCTCAGTTACAACAGTGACGTCATCAATGAGGAAGAGCAATGGGATATCGGTCAAGTTTGAGACATACACAAGTGAAGTTGGGGCAAAAGACTGAATAAACACTGGTTGTTTCAGCCAATCTTTTGACAAGTATGAACCTTTGTAACCATACTTTTTGAGTGTCTCCATGAAAACATCTTCATATCTTCGACCCCCAGACCATTTTACCTGTCAATTATAAGTTAGCAGTTCAAAAAGTAAGTGTCATCATCTCTTCACAAATTTTCGACAAAGCAAGCTTCTAAAATCATCATTCTAGCCACTTGTTAAGAACCCATTGGCCGGATCTATAACATGAATAGTAGCTTAACCCCGGTAGAGACTCGGAAGAAAGGAAACAAAATAGAATCTCTAGTGTTTATAAACAAGCATCAGCTTCCTGCAACTATTTCACATATATAATATTGCCTGAAGACAATGAATGAAAGCAAACAAAAGTGAGAAGGAAAGAGAACAGATTTCTCACATGCTCATTGTTGAACACTGGGTTCTTCATCTCAGGATATATCCCTACCACTCTTGGAGCATCCAGTGCAATTGAAATGTACTCTTCAAAGGTGATAATAGGATATTTTCCTGAGGTCACAGCAAGGGATAAGATTAGTAAAGTACATGCACTTTTAAGACTTGATTTGCACATATATTCTATAATTATAAGTTCACTCGTCGAATCTTACGATCTCATGTTAAAGCCAATATTTGTGACTACTAGTACATATAAAGTACCCCAAAAAGCTAGAAGGGCCAACTCATTCAAAGAGAAGGCACCCCCACCATTATATTGTGGATCTCTGAAATTGAGCCTCTGCTTTGTCCGCAATGTCTTCAGTTCTTCAAGAGTGAAATCAGCTGCACACGATTACAACAGATATAAGATGACTCCTTACTGAAACAGATGTCAAGAATAATCAATGACTCGAAAAATCAAGGACTAGAGCTAACAACCACAGATGTGGAGTCTCACTCTGAATTAGATGCCTAAGTTTTTACATAAAGCAGCAGAAAGCATGGCATAAATCAGCATATAAGAGATTTTTTTACCAATGAAATAGCCCGTCATATTTGACCCTTGAACCATATAGGTCCTCCTCCTATCAGCAAACTTCTTGTGCTCCTTAACATCGGTGGTGTCATCAAGTATAAGATCATGTGCGCAAACCAGAACACCATCTTTTGTGGCTAATATGTCACCTTCTATGAAATCTGCCCCTCTTCGATGGCTCTCTATGAAAACAGCACAGCCATAAATCAGAATATGAAGTCAAGTGAAACACCTAAATGTAAGTAAACTTTATGTTTGGAGGAACATAAAAGAAAAGAACCATAAGTTGTTGGTATATAAGTTAGTGGTGGTGGCCAAACGTACCATGTAAGCAGGTCCTGTTTCTTCAGGGATTTCTCCATTCGATCCTCGATGCGCAATATTATAAGGCCGAGAAGTCTGTAGAGGCTGTTTGGCACCCTGAGCTAGCTTGCTGGGTAGAGGGTAAAGTGGCCTTGCAGCACACACAGCCACCAGTGACAGAAATATGATAGGAGCAAAGCCTGATAGATATTTTCCACAGTCAAACAGAAGATAACCATTTATCCAAGAGGAAACAGACAACCTCAGAACTATCAACGATCAAACAAAACCACATTCAATTTCCATTTACTCTTTAGAACAGCAATAAATTCAGACGAAATTATCATGAAAAAGCAGACGAAATTGCAGGATATAAAATGCAGAGACAAATTGTCCTATTACTAATGTAAAATTGGAACTCCTAGGAAAAGATAGTGTACAAAGCTCAATCTAGCACCCAAAACTTTTATCCGATTGGAAAGAAACGAATGTAGTCAGAAGTCATAACCCAACAAATGGTTTAATCGTCACAAAACAACCCAGAAAAATTAACGAAAGGAAAAGGGAAAAAGGAGAAAACGAAAACCCAAGAGCCATAGTCGAAGGAGTTATTAGAAAGCTTACATCTTGAACCCATTGCGATCGGCCCCAGCTTCCCTCCGATCCTTTTCTGTCCCGCTCTGATGGTGCAATTAGAGAAAACCCCTCTGCTTTTATGTACAAGCTTTGCCTTCACGAAATGGGTTTTCTGTTTTGCAGTCAAACTATATATGCTTTGGGCGAAGAAGCGCCGTTGCGGCACATTCGTAAGGTCATCGCGGATTGGGAGACGGAATCTCGTGGAGACAAAACTATCCGTGGATATGGATTGTTCTGTTTATGTGGAAAGGAATTTGGTATATTCCTCTGTTGATGAAGCTTAACCAAAGACGATTACGATAATCTTTATACGAAGGATTATTTGGATCATTATCTATCTGATTATTCTCTAACTAATACGGATATATGTGCTGATATTCATGTAGCGGTTCAAGTTAGGGTGCATAATCTTGGATGTTTAACATGAATAATTAAATATGTATCCTTCTTTTTAATTGGCTGCAGATTTGAGAGTTGTGAATCAAAATCATTTTATTTTTCCTATTTTTTAATCAGATCATATCTTCTTCATTCTAATTTGGATTTTAATTTTAATTTTTTTCATTGTGCTCTACAAAATGAGATTCATTTTCAATATTTTTTGTGCTAGTATATGACATGCTCTTATTTAATACCAGTTAATACCATATGGCATAGACAGGTGAAAAATTACTCAAAATTTTTTATTCTATTAATATATCAAAGTGGATATTATTTTTAAAAGCACAATTAATCTTATCTAACTATGCAAAAAAAATTAAATACCGCCTTAAAACGAGTGAGAAATCGTTTGTTAAAGGTTAATAGAGAAAATTAAAAGCTTTCCAATAAAGAGAAAAGGGGTTGATGTGACAATTGAGATTGAATTATGCATATAATTATACACCACAAGATTATGTATGAAATTTGTTCCCACCTGAGCTCTCCATAAAATCCGCGGTGAAAAAATAAAGTATAATAAAACTATAATTCTTAAAATGATCATCATATATAAATGTTAGCGTCAAAATAAATATTTTTTTTAGGGAAATCTGTATTTATTAATTAAGCAAGATAATCAGAGTTTTCAAGAGCATCCTCTCTAAGGAGAGGTACAAGTACTTGAGGTGGGCTAGTAACCCAAACCTCTTCACCAAACATCTGGGCTTTGATCCGGATCTCTTCACACATTAGTCCGATTTCTGTTTCCCTTCTCTCTTCCCTTTTCAGCTGTTGAACAACACCCAAACAGTTAAATTCCACTTCCATTTCCTCAATTCCCCTTTGCCTCGCCATTTCCAGGCCGAAATCCACCGCCATCACCTCTGCCTCCTCCGGGTTCCACTGCATCCGCGATTTTTTCACCGCCTCGAAGAGAAAATTACCAACCCCATCCCTAACCACCATTCCCCATTCCGTTCCTTGGCCGTCGAAAACCGCAGCATCGACATTGATCTTCACGGACCCAGTCATCGGAGGTTTCCATTTCTGCTCCGCCGTCCGCACCACTAGTTCAGGCTTCATTTGCTTCGCCAGGTAATCCTGCAGCCAGTCACTAGCTCGAGGTAGTATCTCCCATTCCTCTAATTTCTTCTTGTTCCCCAGTTGACAGTTCCGCTGATCCCATATATACCAGAGGCCCACCAGAAAGGATCCGATCTGGTCCTCCGATTCTGTCTCCTGCAACTCACAAAACCATTCCTCCGAGGTAAGGTTTTCTCCTCTATCTATGAATGAACCCATTGTGCTATATCGCCAAACCCTTCGAACCCAAGCGCATTCCCAAAAGATGTGCTCTTGGGTTTCCACTAGCCCGCAAAAGGGGCAGTCATCACTTCCCTGTTGAGTACGTTTTAGGATTCGAGATTTTGTAGGGGCGTCAAAATAAATTTTCAATCAACGTGAATGGGATGCCGGATAAGTGTGTGGGATGGTAGAAATGATAAACAAATAAAAACACAATTTTAATTTATAATTTTAGATTTTCATAAAATTGTTTTTTTATAAGGACTAGTAGGGCTGGCTATTTGGTCCAGCCTATTTGGTTTTATCCAAAACCGGACAGAATCGAATAGCAAACAATCCAATCCAATCTTCGGGTTTAGATTTTAGGTAAAAACCCATTTGGGACCGGATTGAAAATCGGATAAAGACCGTATAAGAGAGCCTAATACCCAAAACTTGACCAACTCCTCACCCTTTGAGTCCTCAGGCCACTCAAATCCCCACAAGTCAATCTAAAATCAAGACCGAATTGGGACCGAACCAGGTCAAGACCGGACCGGATCAAGATCGGACTGTATCCAATCCAATCTTTGGTCCTTATAATCCCTAAAAGACCAGATTGGGACCAGATCAATTCGGCCCAATTTAACCGGACCGTATAGTCACCTCTACTAACGAGTGAATGTGACTTTGCATATTCTGAAATGTTTGTAAAATACATTCATCACTTATGTTCTTAACCAAACTTTTTATGATGTACACAACTACATAATCATTAATACATTTGTTAGTTAGTTGATTCCGAAAATAGAAGGGAGTCCTAATTTATTCCAATTCGTTAGGGAATTGTTTTGTCCCAAAAAGGAGAAGACAAATAAATGACCACACAACATTTTACATAGGTCTGTTAGGCGGTGCAGTTACTGCTAAACTGAACCAAAGATGCGGTTATCCGCCATTGACATCAACCCAAAACCGCTCACCGCAATCGCCACCGAGAAGTTGTCGATTAGCCGCCACCGATACTAACCTCACACGATGCGATTTTTCGGGTGGCCGATAATCGATGGAAACTTGTAGCTGCGGTTAGCGATTTGTAACCAAACCGAAAAACCGACCATTATAATTCTGCTGTTGTTGCCGCCTCCTGGCTGCTATTCAGTGGATGCTTGCTGCTACCTACATTGTCAAATTGCTGATATATGTACGATATGGTATTTGTAAGAAGAATTAAACAATAAATATGAAGGTCTGACATATATTATCATCTAAAACACCAATTGTCCAAGTACAAACAACAAGAAGTCATGCATAACTCATAAAATCATAAGTCATAAGTTCACATAAAAGATAAAACAATAAGTGCAGACATTCAACTTCCAAATTCAAATCAACCACCTATATCCTAATCATTCTTATATTGCTCCAAATCCTCTTGTCCATAATCATCATCAACATTAACATTTTCATTCTCCTCTATTGATTGACATCGGAATCGTAATCAACGCTACCAACAACTATGGTGGTGGTCGTACCCGTGGGTTAGGAGTAGGCTCAACCGATAAACTTTGGCTTAGGCCATCATGGTCACTCCCACTTTGACTATCAATTCGAGCTTGTAAAGTGTTATAAACTACATGAAAAAAAAATAACTAAAGTGCTAACAAATTATCATTCATAAACTAAGATAGGCAAATTGTTAAATATGAAAAGTAAAACAAAATGAGAAGGAAGAAAAGAGATATTATCACTTTCAAACTCAATTAGCTTTTGGGGATCCTCTTCATCATCAACTAATTGGGATTGCACAAATCAATGCCTCCACAATTTTAGGGGTGAGAGAGGACCTGAACAAGGATAGAACCCGACCTTGTGTGCTGAAAGCCGACTTTGAGGCAACAGAAGAAGTTGAAATAAGTCAAATATCCTTCACCATTTCAAAAAGCACATGATATCTAATGTTGTTTCAGAACCACCATTTCAGAAAATCAAATTTCTCGTCATCCTCAAGAATAGCATCATCTGCATCTCTTAGATAGATATGCAACTCTGAAGAACTTCAAATACCTTTATTGAGCTCCTCTTTCCTTTCTTCTTGAACTCAGAGGTAAATTTCCCTCCCATCACCAAACCACTACTCAAACTCTCACTAGTGGTAATAGCTTCTACTCCTACACCACTTTGAGTACTACTCCCATCAGTAGCCTCACTTGAGAGCGGATGTGGGAACTTTGTTTTGTTATTTTCAAACATAGTAGACATACATCTGTTTCAAGATCGAAGACATAGTAGACATACATCTCTTCTTTAATGGAATGAGCCAAATGCTTTCCACTATTTTCCCCATACATCTGTTTCAAGATCGAAGACATACCCTATTTTGCACCTAGGATATAACACACATGCCAGCCATGTATATCACACAATTCATTTTTCTATTCTCTTTGTTATCTTTCTCAAATCAATATTTGGCTAGCTTTGCTTTAATCCTTACCGTCATTAGGCATGGCAATTGGTGGGTATGAGGTCGGGTAATGGCTCTCCTATCCCCGCCCATACTTACAAATGAGTGTTATCCGTCCCCGTCTTGAATGGGCTATGGCTACTAAATCACTACTCATCCTTGTACCCGTGCAGGTTTGGGAATTTCTCGGTTCCCCGGGTTTTACATGCCACACTCAACAACCCCTTCCTCCTTGCCAACTGTAACCCCTTTGCCAACTGTTTCCCTCCTCATATTGTTGTTACCGCCTCTCCCTACTCTCTCTTTCTCTTACTTTTTTATTATAAAGCTATTTTTCTCTTACTTTCTCCCACCTCTTACTTTCCTCCTCCAAAGAAGGAACATAAGAAGAAAGAAATAAAAATCACTCCATTCCTCTACCTTCTAGATATGCGCGCATCTCCCTTTCTTCTTCCTTCCATCGTCGTCGATCAACCAGGGAAGCACAAAATTGTTGGTTTGTTGGGCGCTGGAAAAGCAAGAATCCATCTCCAGTTTCAAATCCTCTAGGGTGGAGATGGCGACGGACTCGTCTGAATTGACATGAGAAAAGCGATTGGATTCATGGGAGGGGGAGATCTAGTGAGAGAAAGAGCCTACAAGTTTTGGAGAGGCGATGCATGTCGTCGTCCATACCAAAGGTGGGTGTTGGCGGTGAGGTTCGACCGAAGCAAGATCAAGAGTGATTGAGGTGCGTTGTTGAAGTGGGGAGATCGAGAGGGTTTTCCTGTCGTTATTGAGTGTCAATGGAGAGGGATTAATTAAGGTGTGTTGTTTAGTTTGGAGTGGAGTGGAGGGTAACAAGCCAACAGGGGAGTGGGGGCTTGGGGGAGTCGAGGTGGGTTGGGTTGGGACTGTATGCATATCAAACGGGGTCAGGGCGGATAGTCTGATATCCAACCCCGATCGGATCAGTACCCTCTTCCACACATATACCGGGTTTCCCCGAACCCGACCTATATCCAATGTTTACGTGTTTCCAGGCGAGCTTGATCGGGTGGGCGCGGGTTATACCTGCTAACAAAGGTACCCACTGACATTCCTAACTGTCATACGTCATATCTCATCATCTGAATCATCCCTAACTA